GGGTTCTGTGGGGTACGTAATGGGTTGTTGAGCACAAGCGGAATGGCGCACTTGATCTAATCCCACTTGCTGCAGCAAGTGGGGTTCGATCAAGTACGCCATTCTGCTTGTGCTCAATCAGCGCTTACCTTGTCTAGTGACTAGATGTAAGCACCAGGAGCGTTCATTCTTTCATGCCAATTCCGGCTGCGATTCTCTGGGATGCGCCCGGACCTGCTGGCAAGTCGTTAACTTCAAGCAAAACCCCTATAAAACAGAAACCCAAATGGCCGAGGGAAGGAGGAGTACGCGCGCGCATTGTGATGCATCTCCATCCAAGGCGTCTCTGAGAGTTGGCCCAAAACGCTCAAAAGGCCACAGCCACACTCGTTAGAAGATGTTAGAAACGTAGGCCGCGAGTGGGTCACCCTGGCTCCCTTGCGATTGTGCCGGAGCCTGCGAGAAATGGCTTGCGGAATCATGAAAAAAGTTGAACCACCGAGGCTGTGCGAGAATGTGCGAGACCTGCTGACCCCACTTTGCCCGACATTCCATGGCTCAAAGCGGAATGATGGAAGCAGTCAAGTGATACCTGCTTAGCCAGGTAGGTGATGACAGCTAGCAGTTAGAAGTTCAAGAATTGTCGAAGACCCAGGTGCTCACTATCACTTCCAGGAACTGCTGCACAGCACACGTCTCTGTCTCGAGTCTTCAAGATCCGGGGAGAGGGAGGATCGTCTGGGAATTGGGGATGAATTTAAATCCTCAACTACAGGGTTCCATGGAAACAAGATGATTCCAACGATTCTAACTACTTTCCCCTCTTTTGAGGTCTTGTGGTAGGCGGATATTGCGCTACAGCTTTGGGGCTTCTACTGAAGGGCAAAAGGGTTGCGCCTTCCTGGTACAATCACTTTGAATTTGGAATCCCATCTTCCTGGAAACCGCAAATCACGGATGCCGCTACCGTTCGCCTTTTCAAAAGGCACGTTGACAGGGAGGTGTTGGACTTCGAAATCAATTTCAAGCCGAGCAATCCCAGAATTCGTGCCAGCGGCCTACCTGAAAGCTATCCCGCACGTCTTCGAAACCTCGAACCACGAAGGCAAGAAACCCGAACCCCGCTGCCGAGTTGCAGTTCGGTGGCTCCGGTGGCACTGGCATAGAGCACGGCGGCCATCGGACAAGCACGCTGCAACTCCAGGGCGGACAGTCCGGATTTGGAGCCCATCTGCGTTGTTGTTCCAACGTTCTTTGTGCGGTGAGCTTCATCAAGCGCGATCAGTCCGCAAGCGCCACCCTTGCCCCGCCTGAGCCAATCAATGAGTTGACCAAGCCTCGAGGTCTCGGGCGTGGGTACTCCCGAAGCACCGCCTTTGCCGGCAACGAGGAGCTGGTAGCTGGCAAACATCACTCCGTTGCCATCTGGGTCAAGTCCATGGCCTCCTTGGATAGGGCCATAGCCAAAGGAGGACAAGCTGCACAAAGGGAGGGCTGCTCCAAGATCTCTGAAGTCTCTTGTGGCATCTTCCAGCAGATCATTGCTAGCACCTTCAAAGAGATGCTTGATGGAACAACGCAACAACTTCTAGAGCGTTAAGAAAACATGCCTGGCATCTTGCATTTGCCCAGCATGTCAAGCGAATGCGCAAAAGTTGAAACTGAGGCGGCCACTCAGCCAGACGTGGCGCTTGGAACCGCTGTGCCAGAGGTGCCAGATCAGAGCTGCAATGATGCGGCCTTTGCCGCAGCCTGTACCATCACCCAAATAATAACCAGCACGGGCCCCAGATGGCAAGTAGGCCCGGAAACGACGGGCTGCATAAGCTACACTCTCCATCTGCGGGCTTGACAAACGGCCTTGCTCCACAACCATTCTTGGCAAATAGACCAACTCTTCTGCTGGCAGCCTTGGAAGAGAGATCTCTGCCACAGCCGCCGGCTCTGTGAGCCAGTCAGGGTGTTTTCCGCCTACGCGAACTACTTGGGATGTTCGAAAGGCATGCTGCCTCCTCTCGGTCTCGGCTTCGTCTTCTTGCAACTCCTCCGCGTCTGACTCCAGGTCTTCCACAGGCTCCAGGAGCATTGCAGGACAAATCCACTCACCGGCAGGGCCGGCAGGGTGGGGAGGAGGTGCTACATGTTTCCGCACAGGCTCCATTTTGATGGCCTTGCTTCTGTTGGCTTGCGCCAGCTGTACCGGTGGTGCTGGTCGCTTTCGGGCTCTGGAAGGCGTCGGTGTTGTTGGCAAAGCTGCCGGGTCTTCAGGTGCCCAGCAGATGCGCGCTTCCTCGTCCATGCCTTCCCATTGCTGCAAGACGACTGCTTGTGCCTCCTCATCCTCAATGCCCTCGGCGAGCAATTCGGCAAGTCTCTGGCCTTCAAAAGCCGCGAAAGCCTTCACGATCACTGAATCCATGCAGTGCTTGCCATCTGGCCCAGGCCCAGGCTCGCGTTTTGTGTGTTGGTCGCTGGTCTGGGGGAGCCTGGTGTGGCTTGCAAACAGTACTTTGTTGAGTTTAAAGTTTAGCTGCGAATGTGCAGGTACGCTGCTATGTATGTGTCATCTTGTCCTTCATACTCATACAACTGCCTTCGAGCATCAGGTCCATGTTCCAGTTGGTCAGCTTCAAGCATTAGCAGGCCAAGGTTATTCCAGATTCCTTAAACGCACATTTCCGCGGCCTGGCTCAGAAGTCTGCATGCGACTACAGGAGCTGAATGGCGCGGTGCGTGTGAGCTCTCAGAGCATCCAAACGCTTTGAAAGGGCACCTCCTCTAGCAAGCCTGTGCACAAGCAGCCAAAAAAGAACCGAACGGGCCTTTGCGGTGTCTTGAACTGCTAATTGGCTAGAAGCTGGCAGTCTGCCATCTTACTGCATACTTATATATCTGCATAAACAAGTCCTTTGGCATTCGAACATGGTTGAACCTTCCTGGGACTCGCAAGTGGCTCTAGCTCAAGGTCCTATCTGTGCATCAGCAAGCTCGACTTTGCAGTCTCAAAGGACCTTGCTCATGCTTGACAGCTCAGCCTTTCAAAGCTTCGTTCAGACACAAGGACCGCTGTTTCCCTGTGCCCAAGCGTGGCTGCCTTTGTCGAAAGGCCTGAACCAAATTCAGAACTCAGCTGTAAGTAGCCGTGTCTAGGTGGGGTGGATGGGCCAGCCTTGAGGCAAGCTGATAGACATGTTCGATTACATGATTGAGTGCTGCTGACATTATAATTTGTCCAGCTTTGCATGTTTTTCTATGGAAAAGGCGGCCATCCTGCCCTGTGCCTGACTCGGCGGGAAGCGCTTCAGCTGCTATAAACACACTTTGCTTGCTGCTCTGAAGTTCTGCTTCCTGGAAGTTCGCAAAGTACTCTAAGACAGAAGCTCCATGATAACTTGGACCTTTGATATCTATGGTAAAGCGACCAGGAGTATTGGCTTCCTCCTAATATCAATGCCCAATGCCTGTCCTGGAAGCGCCCTGTAAAGGGGAAGACTACTATTGGAGGGGGGCCTAATGATAATGAATGAGGGAGGGGTTCTGTGGTCATCAGGGGGTGGTGGTAAGAAATCGTGAGGAACTCGGGATCTCCTGATTTCCTCATGTTGTTTATTGTTTTGATGTACTGTTCATGTGAAGGAAGTAGTAGTCCAAACAAATCTACATCGAATTAGAAGTATGGACCCCCTATCTTTCATACATGTTTGCCAATTTTAAGAGTTTTATAAGTGAGCTTCCATGAAAAATCTAATCAATATTTGACTAAACTAACTACTTAGACTATTTTAACCGCTTGATTAAGTAATTAGTGATCTCAACTGACTAGCAGAAGGCGTGGATTGTGAAGGGGCCGCGTCTAAATCTTGCAAGAAAATGTACCACTGAATCCCCCCAATAGCATTCAATCTTTCGCGCGGTGGAATACTTCCAAAATTGCCATGCGTTTCATACTGGGGGGGGGGAAGCGACTTGACTGATCGGGGGAAGTTGCTCACATCTACTTTCGGCAACTCCGGAGCATCAAGATAACAGAGCGCTCGGGCGCCGCTTACTGTGCCCAGCTGCTGCTAACTACTACATATCAATCAAGTAAGCCACCGTCACACGAACAACTGTTGAGCCTTGGATTGGAATCCTCTGGCTGAACACATTCTATGTTCTTTGACCTGAGGCCCTAGCTGTTGTGAGGGCATGCTTCACAGGTTCCGTCACAGGTTGCGCCGCAAGTTCCTCTGCTGAAATCATCTGACTCGTGCACCAGGCGTTGCAAATGCTTAGCCTCTTTGGGTCTCCTTTTGCATCCTCAGCTCCCAACACGTTCCACCGTGCCTTGTATCAGAATCGCCCCTGCTCAGTTGGAGGCAACAGGATGCAGAGACGGCCACATGAGCTATAGTCTAAACACCTAGTATCCCCCTAATAACCCCTATAGTAGCTCCCCATATATAATCCCCTATATAACCCCCTTTACAGGAGTTTAGACCCTAAACCCTAAACCCTAAATAGTAGTTTCCATTGTCTTTTCCATTATCCCAATATATCCCCTATATAATCCCGAATATAACCCCCCTTTAAGGAGTTTAGGTTATGGCTCACATGATCATCTGACATCCCAATATAACCTCAACATAACCCTAATGTGACCCCAATATATTATGGTAGTTTCCATTTTATTTTCCATTATCCCAATATAACCATGTAATAACCCCTTATAGTAGTCCCCTATATAGTCCCTTATAGTAACCCCCTTTAAGGAGTTTAGGTTATGGCTCACATGATCATCAGGCCATAACCTCAATATAACCCTAATATGACCCCAATATATCATAGTAGTTTCCATTTTATTTTCCATTATCCTTATAACCTCAATATAAAACTCCTAGTATCCCCCTTAATAACCCCTATAGTAGTTCCCTATATAATCCCCTATATAACCCCCTTTAGGGAGTTTAGATCCTAAACCATAAACCCCAAATAGTAGCTTCCATTTTCTTTTCCATTATCCTTATAATCCCTAAATAACCCTATATAATCCCCTATATAAGGTAGTAGTTCCCTATATAGTCCCTTATACAACCCTTGTTTTAAGGAGTTTAGGTTACAGCTCACATGATCCTCTTTGGGCCTTGGAGCGGCAGCCGATCTTAAAGCTGGGCCCAGGCTTGCGACTGTCCAACTCCTCAAAACTCGGTCAAGAATGGTCTGTTACATTGGGGTTTATATGGGGATAGTGGAAAAGAGAATGGAAACTATAGTATATTGGGGTTTATATTGGGAATAGTGGAAAAGAAAATGGAAACTACTATAGTACATTGGGGTTTATATTGGGGATAATGGAAAAGAAAATGGAAACTACTATAATTGGTTATGGTTTCGCATGCCTACGCCAGAAAAATCATCCAACTCAGCCGAGCATCATCATCGGAGAAGTCGGCAGAGTTCTTAGCGTCTGCTTCACTATCTGTCCTTGGTTTTGTCCCGTGCTGTCGCATCCTCATGAAGAGGATCCTACCCTTCGTGGGTGCTGTGAGCATGAACCAGAGAAGCAACTGCAACAGGGGATCACTGAGAGCTGACCCGTGCTCGATCGCCTGCAGCCCCGTGACATCGCTGAGGGTCATTCTAATCGAAAAAGGGCATGGCAGGACTTTTCGGGCCAAGCAGCTTCCTTGCTCCAAAGGAATATGCTCCTGAGAATTTCTTCAGGGGCCTCTGCCTCTGCATGACTGGAACTTCTGCGTCCAAAGCTCCATCCAGGCTCTCGGAGCGCTGCACCAAGATCTGGCCCATCTGGCCCAGAGAGGCGCTTCCCACGGTTTGGGATTGAGATGCCTGTGAGAGACTCGATCCTGGTATGATGTACCAGATTGCAGCATTGTCTAGGCCGCAGGCCAAGTAACCGATGATGGGCATGCTGCCACCTTAATGCCAACAAAAGCCACTTACGGCTATGCCAAGGCCGTGCTGGACATGTTTGAAGCCTTCCTTGCTTCTGAGGAAAGCGCGTTTCACCCACGGAGCAATGGGTCTATCGATCTACGCGTACTGTGCACTTGAACCTACACTTTCTAAACAGGAAAACATGTGAGACATCACGTGCCAAGTATGTATAGAAGTTCAATCAGCAAGCAATCGGGTGGCTGCAGCACTTTGGGGTGGCAACAGCCAATTCATCAGGCGACGATGCGGGGTTCATAAGTGTCAGACTATTCGGCTGATCAGGATCATCATGAGAACATGTTGGTGCAGGGTTGTTACCAGCGAGAATAACTAGCGGATTCCTGATCAGCCGCTCGCTTACACCTTCAACCTAAGAAAACTGGCTCAAGTGATGATGCCTGGGCTTGTAAAAATTCCTGTGTCGTCAGATTGATCTGATCCAGTGTAACTCGGCATGGGCAGCTAAAAAGCTGGCAACATGTTCTTGCGCTTTTTCTGCTCCCCGCTGACCAGAGAGTACGACTCCGATGCCTTGGCAGATGCCAGACCAGAAGGTTTCAAAAGCAAGACAGACTTCACAAATCTTGACAAGCTCCCGGCAGTGTCAACTCCGGAGCGAGGAAGGCTCCTGGCCCAAACAGTTGAGAGGCCCCCTTAGGCCTTGCCTTCCAAGATCAATCCTGAGCACCACACTCCACGGCCCACTTTGCTTGCGAATGCACCGCCTGGTCTGGGCAAAATGCGCTCTGAAAAAGAGGCGCTATCTCAAGCAATGAGACCCCCGCTGAATTTGCGCAGCTAGTTGTCACGGCGCCCCTGGGGTAACACTGTGGAGCTCGTTCCAAGTCCAAGGCATGGACTTACACAGGTTGGCTAAGCAGCGGTCGGCACCCTTGCAAGGCTTGCAAGGATGTGGGAGCGTCCCTCCTCATGATGCTTCCGCATCAGCCCTCAGACACGAAAAACATGATCATTGCCCGGCTCTCAAGTGCAGCTCTAGGCTCGCAGCGTTCGTTCAGGTTGGCGAGCTCCGCACGCAGGCCTGCCACGATAACCTGCAAGTCAGCTGCAGGAAGTGCGAGAAGAGAATATTAGAAGGGCCGCAGCTATTGAAGTCTATCATTTCCATCCGAAGAAGTGTATATCTACCGCAGGCGCCTCCGAGCCAGATAGCTGGCCCTTCAGCAGCGAGTTCTCGGCTTCCAGCTGCGAGATACGTCCGCGAAGTTCGCTCACGTCCGAGGTTGCAGCCTCACAAACATCCAGGGCGTGCCACAGTGGCCAAATGGGCGTACTCCTGCCTGCTGTCTGGCAAGCAATTTTGGGAAGTGGTCATTCTCCAAAAGTGCACGCCGGTGTTCAGCCTCTTTACATGCAAAATACCCGCTGCAAAATGGTACAGCTAAAACACACCAAGAAAACACACACAATGCCGGCCTCCAGCTTGTGAGCATGATGCATCTTTGCAAGGTGTTCAGCCTGAACCACCATCTTAACTGGGAAAACACTTCCACACCAACAACATCAAAGGCCTGTGACTTCTCCCCCGCAAGACGTGAAGCTGCTTCTGCCTTTGTAGATACAGTCCCGGCGTCGCGCCGCGACGTCAAGGGGAGACGCTTCCAAGAATCACGAAACTTCTGAATGCCAAGCGCTGTCTTCCGGGCCTCGTGCATTTTGCTTGGCTTCCGACTGGGCAGCTGCAAGCTGCGAGCGCAGGCTCTCACGCTCTGCCTTAGTGAAGAAGAGGCACCAAATGGCACACAAAAACATCTTGCACTCGTGGCCTCCAAGGCCAGTTGAGCTCGCTGAGACTTCGTGACCTGCTCCTGTCATTTCGAAGATATGGCTTGGGTTGGGGCACGGCCTATGCGCGACCTCCAATTCCGCGACTCGCTCGCGCATACTCTTTCCCAAAGCAATCTGAGCGACAGGCACAGTCTGTGTCAGAGCACTATGACATGCTGTACTAATCCATGCGCCTCTCGCTGGACAGCCTCCTCCAACCTTCACAAGAACAGCCACCAAAGCATTTTGGCAGATCGCGGCCACGCCTGGGGCCCTTGGCTGCAGCTGCCTGCTCCGCATGACGCCAGTGTTGCGCCTGCGCTCGTAGTTGGCTGCAGGTGGCGTCCATGGCGGCAATGCGCTGCCTCAGCCAGGCGCCATTCTGCCTCGACTCCTTGAGCTCCTCTTCCAGTTCGCCACAGCGCTGGCGGCAAGTCTGCAGCTCCTCACGGGTCTGGGTCAACTGTGCCATCTCCAAGTGGTGAAGGCCAGCCAAGTCTGCAAGACGAGTGTGTTGCATTTGCAGGGTCGCCAACTTCTGCTCCAAGTCCTTACAGTTGTTCACTGACTTCCCCTCGGCAGCAGCACGCGTCTGCAGCTCCATGTCCATGGCTTTTATTGAAGCCTCAAGGCTGACCACCCTCCTTTGGAGCTGCGATCGCTCTGTCTGAAGTTTCTCTGCGATACCGTTTAGCCTTCTGCTGTTGGACGCAACAACCTCTTTGTCTCGCGCGGCATCCTCAGCAGCCTTTCGTGCCAACATAATTTCTCCCTGCTTAGACTGAACAGCCTCTCGAGCTTGTAGAATAGCAGTCTCTTTCTCCTGCTGTATGAAGATCGCCGAATCCCGAAGCTTCTGGCACTCAAGCTCCAGCTGCTGAATCCTCTGGTTCTGTGTCTTATTTGTTGCCTCCAGGGACCTCTTACTATCTTGCAATTCCACGTTCTCTGCCTCCAACGTCACCATTTGCTGGCTGAGTCTGTGCCTGAGCTGCAGCATCACTCAGAGTTACAAGAAGCATCAACCACCACATTGAAAAGGTTCCGATGTGGAAACCTTTCTGCTGAGGCTTTCACGTCAGCGCATCCTCTGCAGTCCCTGTATCGTCACCCAACAGGCTATACTCGCAGATATCATCGTACAGTGCTTCTTCTACGACTAATTTGCAGAAAAAAAGCAAGCGTTCCAAGAAGTTTTTTCAAAGGCACGATTGCTCCAGCAGCTGCGCCGAGGCAGGCTCCGTATTCCGAGCGCCCGCTGCAAGCCGCGATCTGCATTGGGAGTCGAGCATCCATGGAGCTGAGGCCATGATGCCCTTCCTCTCTATCAATGAGCCTAAAAACAACCGCGCGAGGCAACTACATCCTGCTTAGTTCGCCTACTGTGAGCGAACAGGGCCGTTGTCACCTACAGCTGCAAAAATGTTGTTGACCTCAAGCACTGCTCGTAGGCTCAGCACATATCTCAACTAAGTCATGTCTATCCAGCCGCGCATTGTTTGACTGGCAACACAATCCCATCCCGATGAACGGCTAAGCAATAGAGTCAGAAGCTGTGTCAGCAACACTTTTCTCAGCATAGACGCCGCACCACGTTTGCAGTCTACCGAACGTTTCTTCCTCAGGTGTGCGCCTGGAAGAGATTTTCAGCTTGATGATTCAGCTGTTCGTTCTAAGCTGACACACCAAGATGCTAGTTGTCTTGGCTTTGAAACACCACAATCGTCTCATGCAAGCCAGCTGCGCCTGGCAGGCATGTCTACATCAGCTACCACATTCGACACATGCCTGAAAACAAAAGCCCTGAAATCCAAGCTGCCTTGAAGTCCTAGCTACTTCGGTGCCGTGAGGAAGTACTCAAACGGCAGAAACTGCCTGAACAACCCGCGCCAAAGATGGGCTTGACCGAAGCAATGGGTTTGGCTGGGCAGCCCGAGCTCGCCACTTACACTTCGAGATCTTTTCTTGCACGCTCCTCTTGCTCTCCGTCAGGCTTGAGTAGCAGAGGTCGTCCTGTGCAGCAAGACAGCGAACAGACCCCTCACGCCAGCAGTCGGTGCTAAACAATCCTTTGGAAGACCATCCAGGGCATCATCAATTTCCGCCATGCACTCTTCGAACCTGTCAAACACGCGTCGTAGCTAAGAGGGCGGCCTAGAAGCTCGGAGCTCTTTGAGCCCTGGGCATGTGTATGGCTCCTCTCAAATCATTGGCGCCTGGCATACGGCATCTGAAATTCCCGACTATCTCTGCAAGCTCACAATATCAAACTTGCCATGGCAGCGTACTAAATCTCCGGCTTGCTTCTGTAGCTTGTTCACCTTGGGCATGGCAACTTTCTGCCATGACTCATGACTGAATTTAGCTTACTAGATCCTACCTCGTCCGCTTGCCGCTGAACTTGCGAGACCCGCTGTGCTGGGCGAGGTTCTCCTCCGTCAGAAACACCGTGAGCCGAAGCAAAGACTTCTGCTTATTTAACGCAATACCGTTTTCAACGAGATGGTTCGTACCAAGCGGTCTCGTTAGCGTTTCCCTGTTGGGAGCTAAGCAGAGCCTGGCGGTCTCAGCTGCCTGGACCCCTTTGGCCTTAGCAACAACGTCACAAGCTCATAAATGGTCTCAAAACAGCCAACACCCAGGCCCCGCGCGGGACACGAGGGCCAGAAGGCGGCATTGGCACAACCGGGACAGACCCAACTCACCCGCTGAGCCAGGAAGCAGACACACAAAAGACCTGCGCTCGGCTTTGTCAAATCAGAGCCGCCCCATCTGGCTGACTGTCCTGTGCACATGGAACATGCGCAAACTAATGCCATTCTGGGCAGGCACAACCCTGTTTTGCCACTGGCACTTACAACATTCTGCACAACATGGGGCTGATTGAATGCAGTTGGCTAGAACGCACAGCCGCATAGAGAGGGATTGCCATAGAGTCAGCGCCTCTCCTTGGGCCTGGTACCTGAAGCAGTCGGTATTCGTACGTAGGGGCTACAAATGGCCAGATTTTAGCTGACTTGATGTTCAGGAGTAGCACCGAAACTCCGCTTGAAAGTGGGTGCACCGCCCCTGACAAGGTTCGCTGCGACCCTAAGGAGGCACAGAACAGTGCCACCATGCTCCTGACAATCTTTGACCCTGTCACCTGCTTCAAATTGCTGGGCGAGGTGCTGGGCAAGGCTCTGAGAGCTTGTAGCGCCCGAAGGCGACTTCAGCAGGAGCTGCTGCTTGTCATACTGCAACGTTCAAAGGACTTCTTCTGCAAGCTGAGGCTATGCTCTTTCTGTTCGTGCGCAGCTCGCGCAGCTCGCTGCGAGGTCACCGCACGGAGACTTTCAAATTTCTCCGGGTGCCTATGGCATTCGAACCGCAGCTCTCCGGGAGCCCAGGCACAGGATTCCCGCAAATTTAGACTTCCTGTGCAAAAGTTCTGTTGTGATTACTTGTCAAATCTCGGTGTGTGGCCTGTCTCTCGGCCGCGTGTTGCGGCAGCCTAGGGGCTTCTGACCGAAGCAGATTCGAAAGCCACTCCCCAACAGGAGGCCTTCGGAAACATGCGCAGTTCGCCGCAAGGATTGGTTGGAGAATGTGGAGAAATCACCGCTGCATGCTCTAGCTGCAGTCTGGTCGAAAGCCTCATAAAATCGGCTTTCAAACCCTTCCGACACATTTGCATCATGAGGCAGATCGACCAGTCCAGAATGCAGACATGGAAGGCCCTGGAAGGCTGTGGTCTTCAACTCGGTGCAGCCTGAGACTAACAAAAATCCTCTGCATACACAGACCATGAACGAAATGACTGAAAACCGTTTGCAGCCCAGGGTTAAATCACGACTATCAAAAGCGCATCGAAGGAATGAAACCTGCTGGTATGAAGAGGTTGCCCTGTTGCTCCGCAACGGAGATGCAATGCCTCTACCAGCCTACGCCCCTCTTCTTGAAAAGCACAGAAAGGTGCACACCTCCGATATTTGCTGGGTTGGATACCATCAGTTTGCGGTTGTCTGCCCAGCTTTACTCCTTGTGCTGAAAGCAGCCCTGGTAACAAGCGCAAAGCGTGTATGTGTGTGCTCACGTGTCCTGTCGATAGGTCTCCAAGCTTTCAGCTGGAGGCTGTGTGCTCCAAGCTGCGCTAGCATACGCTTTAAAGTACAGAGATGTAACACTGCATCGATGCCAAATCATGCAAGTTCTGAAGATTCGACTTTCACGGCTTTGCAGAGTCGCGGGCCTTGGCACACCGACATATCTAATAATGGGCGGGTGTTGTTTCAAAGATGGATCTCAGTTCTGGGCATCTCCGGATAACTTTCAGCAAGGCCTTTTCCTTGCTCGTCCAGAAGGCACGCGATTGCGCCGCCTGCCGTCTCAGCAGGCCCCAAGCAGCACAAATTCAAGATCGGAGAGGCAAGGCAGGTCCCCAAAAACCGGAGAAAATCATTGTGGCATCTGTACTTCTGCACAAGTGGCACAAGACTCCGAAGATGCCCATGATATCCTAGTAGACACACTGGTGAGTCGCTAGTGGGGAAAGGGATAGCAGTACTACTCATTATAATCATAGAACACCAGGAATAGCAAGGCTGGCGGCAGGAGGCCTTGCCCGAGCTGCAGTTAGGCTAACCAGGCCTTGGGCAGCAGAGTCAGAGGGAACTGCTCTGGATACATCATATAGCCAATGGAAACTTTGCCATGAGAGATTGTACGTTTAGTTATTTGCAAATACGTCTATCGTTCTTAATACTATACTGTGGTCACTGGCACTACTTCTGGAAATGCTTGGAAGCCAGGTGCGGTGCGTCTTTACCTTGAGCGTTTTGTTCTGAATCCCTCTGCTCAATGTCCTGGTGGCGTTGCACGGGGGCTGCCCTCCATCGCCCGAAATCAATCATGACTCATGGAGAATAGCTCTTGCGAGTCCTTCAAGGCAGCAATCAGCATCAGACCTGGGAGAGCGCGCGCGCGCAGATACTCGCGAATGAACAATGCACTGCCAAAGCTCCCGGCGGCCACGCATCACGTCCAATTCATTGCTGACCGGATCCGCAATCTGACACAGAGCTGCGATGCGACCGGATGCAACAACAGCGACTGACGCAAGACGCAAGCCAAGCCAGCTAAGCAGTGTACCAAACGTTTCGCAGCGCATGGCATCAGAAATACATAGCACTGAATATAATCACAATCTGGTACAACGTCATTCCTGCAATCTAGTTCCACAGAAGGCCTGTTGAGAACCAGCGGGCATTCCCCGGTTTGGGCTACCGTCGTTCTCCTGCAAATGGAGGCATGGAGAAATGCCTGCGCACAGACTATGCCTGCACCCCGTCCTCCTGCATGTTGGGCATGAAGGTTGGAGCATCTGCTCGCATGTTCATGGCAGCACCTTCGGCGAGCGTCCATGGCTTAGGCTTTGAGAGCATGATTGCTCGGCTTTCACTCAGGCGGTTGCAGCCCGCGCATGGTCCGCATGCACAGCAGCCACAGCCGCCACAGCCCCAAACAGGGCAAGCCATGGGAATGCCGTTCATCATGGGGGGTCCTGCGCCATTATGATCAACTTCTTCTTGGGAGCAAGGAGCCCGTGGCGCTTATAGGAGGCTGCATGGAATCTACTATATGCTGCGGCTGATGAAGATTACTCGGCAAGAGCCATGGCATCATCACACGAGTTCCAAAGATTAGATAGCCTCGAACTCAGATTGAGAACTCTAGCCATGGCCTTACTGACTGCCGTGTTGAGCTGACAACGAACGCAGGGTTCCAGAGTGAAACATGGTGTTGAACCAGTTTGCACAGAATGTCTGAATATTTCTTTGCGAGCCAATGCTCTGCACGGTGCGCACTGCATGAAATCATGACCAGGTCCTGCGGTCGGTGCCGCTCTAGGCATGGTAGGCATTGTCGCGTTCGTCGAGCCTTCAGGCAATGGTGCCGTGCCGCAAAGCAGCGCAAAAACTTCACTGGTGCAGTACCTCACCCATCCCCATCCATTTTTTGCCCCGCCTCCACCACCCTTTGGGACCTGAGCCAGCAACTCTAGTGACTCTAGTGTCAGATGTGGTTGCCTATGACCAGGAAGGGTCCCGGCAGGGTGCCCGCAGGCCGAGCAGAATCTGAAGCAAGCGAGAAGCGAGACAAGGAAACCAATGGAAGTGCCAAATCCGCCGGTACAGGATAGTACAGGCCTGTGGTCGGCGCTACAGATGTTGCCACAGTTGGGGCCTGCTCAAGCAAGTTCTGCTAACTCACAGCTCGCAGCGTTGAGCAGACTGAGGTTGTGGCATGTAACTGTGGCGCCGCTTCGCCCTCCACCTCCACCTCCACCGCCACAGGGTGCGGCGAACGGAGCTTGCCTGTGGGGTGAAAGTCAGCTAGCCTCACTAGCCCCAAGCCACATGTCCGAGGATCCGACATGGCAGGCTGCTGCTGCCAGGCCATCTGCTCCGGCATGGGAGCCCAGTCTCCCTGAAAGGCCACAGAGTTCCAAAACGTCGGCAAAGGATTTACATAAACCGTGGCAGGCACCTGCTGAGCATTTCCATCATCCAGGCCCATGAAAGCCAAGCGAGAAAATGCCTGTGGAAGCACTGGGCAGGCGACAACTGAGAAAGCTTACACTTGGAGCGGGGTTGCTACGTAATTTCCGGGCTGCCGCGGCAAGCTCCGGCAGTTTTTAAATGGAGCTGTTGGCCCTCAATGGCTCGCATGGTATGAGTAGGCCAGGTTATCCGCAACACACACATCGTCAATGTATGCAGTCGCCTGAAAATGATGTCTTGGCGCCACTTCAATTCCCCGTGCGCCCGCCTCAACACCCTTGCCGTCGTGGGCTCCCTTGGGTCCACCCTGTCAGCAAACCCGAAGAGGACAGATAGATAGATAGATAGATAGATAGACGCGCAGGTAAATGGACTGCTTAATAGATAGACAACTAATTAGGTAGAAACCTAGATGGACAGATAGATAGACAGATAAATAGATAGATGTACAGGTCGGTGGACAGGTCGGCAGGTAGATAAGCGAATAATAGATAGACAAATGGAGAGATAGACAGGTATATAATGGTATATAGATGGATAGGTAGATAGCTAGGGACATAGCAAGAGCAAAAGAGGAGGAAGTGGGAGTAAGACAGAGACAGGCAGACAGAGAAACAGAGAGAGAATGTGAGAGCAGGCGAAAATATGCGAAAATCAAAGTGAGTGAGGGTCGGAGAGCTAGTAGGTAGTCAGAAAGTGGAGCGAGAGAGGGAGGGAGAGCATGCCCAACCCCTTTTTGCGGACGCCTTCTCCTTCGAACCCTTCTTGCCACCTTTGCCACCTTTGTCGAAGCCTTTGCCTGGCACCAGAACGACCAGGGACAGGGAGGCAGCCCCTTGCCAGCAACAAGTCAAACCGCAGTCCTCGACCAGAGGATTTCCTGTCCTTCGCAACGGGCTGCAGCCGACATGTTGCAAAACCAAAGAGGATGAGGCTTGAGTTGGGCTTAGAGAGAATCAACATGAGGAGCTTCTGGGCGATGTTCATGAGGCTGATCAACATGTCACAGCCCAGCCTGCGACATGTCGAAGTCCATGTTCTTGAGGAACAAGGGCCGGTAAGCTGGGTCCTGCAAGCGCAACGCTTATGCTGACCGTGAGACGATTAGCAAATCACCGTCGCTGCGTACATTGCTCAAAATCTGGCCTCTGCCTGTGCCACTCGGGTGGAGGAGTAGTACCTGCTGTATGCATTCCATGATAGCTATTGCGATTGATACAGCACTAGAAATACGCAAAAGATCATAATTCTAAGGGGGTTCAAAACAGATTGCTAGCACAGTAATTGGCAGTGAGAGTTCGCTAAAACGAGCACCAACCAGAAACACCCTGAGCAAAAATTAATTACTTCGAGCATCCCCACCCTAAAGCCGTCATTTCATTGCACAAGAAGTGTATGTAACGTTTCCCTGCCCCCTGTCAACTGTCTTCCTTGCAGCACTGCAAATGCGCTGCGAGAATATTGATACTCTGCGGTTGGGCACTGCAGACATACTCTGCGGTTGG